ATGTAGAAAAATATTTAGTATACACATCCAGGAATGCATATACTATTATATATTGTACATATATTTATTAGTTTCAGATGTAGCCATTCTTGTATTTTGCTTGTTTACATTATTGTATTTTGCACAACTCTTTTGCTTGTGAAGCTCGCACACAAGAATTTCACTCACATGTACTGTACCAATTTACCTGCACATGTGATGTGACAATAAAAGTGATTTGATTTGATTTGATTTGAAAAACATGTATTGTTAGAAAGTTCTTAAGGTAACTTCTACATGAGTTATTTTGTTGGGGAAAATTATTCATTGTGGTTCTTATGTAAACCAATTATTCATAATTTTGGTGGGAGTGTAAATAACCCTAAATGCTTTTATTTAGTTCCTTGCACCTTATTTTGGCACTCATCGCTGTTTTCTACTACCAGCTTCCTCTTCGTGTTTAAAATAGTGATGTGCGATACCACTGATTTCCTTTCCGATCCGATACCAAGTAAAATTCAGGGTGGTATCGACGATACTGATCCGATACCGATACTCTGTACAAAAGCTTAATATTTCATTGTATTTCATATATAATTGTATTATGTAATTGTAATAATAATATAATAATATAACTTCATAATGATTCAAGGACATCAGACTTACTTGTTCTTATTGCTTAATAATGCAGAATTATCATATACAAATATAAAAAAAAGTTGTGCGCTATTTGAAAACGTTTCCTGCCTGCAGCACTAAAGGACTCCGTGAGAGACGTCTGTCTCGCCCTAGCAGCACCTGTCCCTCTCCTCCTCTTCAGTTCGCCTCAATATAAGCTCATCATATTCTGTGATATGATTTACTCTGAGGTGTTTGACAAGGTTAGTGGTGTTGCCACAGCACCTCACTGTCTTGCCACATGTATCGCAAACCACGTCTTGGCTGTTTGTGGAGTTAAATACATCCACACATGACTCCATTTACGCTCAGCCATCGTTGTGAGTGTGCACTAGTGATGTGCGAATCATGAACGAATCGTTCGATACTCGAGAATCACTTTACTGACAAGTGAATCATGATTCACAAGCCCAACTGACTCACTGACTCATCCCTGTTGCTGTTAGCAAACTAATTTCATTAGTAGAAATATATCTAGCTTATAATTAAAATTGTGGGGGGAAAAAACAACAGCCAGTTTCTTAATAAAAACATTTCTGCTCTGGACTGGAAGAAAAAACCCTGAGTAGAAAGCTCACATCAAGACAATAGCTCCTCGGTTCACAGTAGCATCGCTCTGCTAACATGCTAACAGCACATTTGAGTTACTCACCCCTCCCTTCCTGTGCGGATTCGTAGTGTAAGCGAATCACTCCTTCACTCACCCCCTCCTTTCCTGTGCTGAATCGTAGCATAAGCGAATCACTCACTCACTCACCCACTCCCTTCCTAAGCTGAATCTTAGCATAAACGAATCACTGGCCCTTTCTCAATTCTCAAGTAGGCGAGTCCGTACTCGCGTTCTCGGCGACTCCGGACTTGCCGAGAACGCACGGGAGTACGGACTTGCCGAGAACACGAGCACAGATTCACGATTTCTACAATTGGAACACCAGTGTACTTGATGATGTCACAGGTCAAGTGTAAAATCAAATGATCTGTCTCTCAAGAATAATGTTGGATCAGTGTTTCAATATTTATGTCTGTGAAGGTTCTCAGTCATCCAGGTCGTCGTAGTATCAATATTTCAAGTTCTTCAGTTCTTTAGAACTGAAGAACTGAAGAACTTGAAAGAACTTGAAACTGAAGCTTCTCGGATGAGAGGTGAAACGTCTTCAAGCAACTTAAAGAAGTCCAGACGCTATTCTTTGCAAGCTCCTTTGACTTTCAATATTTATATCTTTTATTAGATGTTCATGTGGTTTGGTTATTTGCCTTTTGGTTGAAAGTACACTGAGAGAGGACTTTTTGTTAGTGATCTTTATAGTATTTTTTTCATATTAATGTAATTTTTCATCTAATTGATTCTATTTGTGTATGATTGTCAGTCCAAAGAGGCAGAGAGGAAAGAGGGGAATGTGAGGAGAAAGTACAAGGTCAGGAAGAACCAGGTAAGAAAACAGACAGGGAACAGTGACAGGCAAAACAGAAACTGTTAAACTGACAAAGAGAAAAAACCTGATTTTACTCATACAGTCTGGAAGTTGTGTCCTCCCTATATTACAGCTGCTATACAGAATCTGCAAAACAAACTGGGTTGAAATGTTTTTGACCCTCTTTAACAACACTCCAACATTACATTATAATTGATTGGGGAGATTAAAATTAATGATATATCCTTATGTGGTTCAGCCACAACTCTACTAAAACCTCAACCAGTAATAGGTAGGCCAACTTTTGGACCGTCCAGTATTTTTTTTTTTTTTTAATCCCGAAGTCTCATTGTGACGTGTAAAGTTTATCTTGCCTGGCTGGGCAGCTCTCTGGGTGAGATTAATGGTTTACTTCCATTAAACCTTCAAAACTTCATCAGTAAAGTGTCAGCCTTCATTCGGGGGGGGGGGGGGGGGGGGGGGGCTACAATTTCAGATGATTTCAAACTGAGACAGGAAAATGCAGCATTTAGGATCAGCTGAAGGCTTTTCAGGGAATTTTTAGGACATCCTCATAATATTGAATTACAGTAGTCCAGCCTATAAGTAACAAATGCATGAACTAGTTTTTCAGTCTGAGATAGGATTTTTCTAATCCTGCTAAGAAACACCCTATTCATTGTCCTCTGCAACATCCTCTACTTTTGTTTTCAGTCGATATCTTTTGTCTTATCAGAGCAATCTTACCAAGTCCCGATGTACTAAACAGAGGAGATCCCAGCTTTCCATAGATATCTCAGGTGTTAGAGTGAAACCTTTTCGCTGCAAAGACGAAGGAAATCAAAAAAAAGTTCAATGGGATGATTCATTTTTCCTCAGTTCTCAGGAGGATAATCCACAAATGGAAGAAAGCAGTCCTACATTTTGTTTAATATGTGCATTGAAAAACATATCCTGGTCAAAGAAGACTCCGAGGTTCCTCACAGTGTTACTGCAGGCCAAGGTAATGCCATCCAGAGTAAGAATCTGCTTAGATACCATATTTTTAAGATTTTCAGGGCCGAGTACAATAACCTCAGTTTGCATGTAGATTTATTTTTCACAGCAGCTACAGCATCCAGAGTCGTTCACAGTGAAGAAGTAAAATTATTAACAAGATAATCGACTTCTGCAGAGAGTATCTCAGGCAGCTGCTCCGTGTGGGCAGAAGATAACAATGGATCAATTATATCCTTTTTAACTTTACTACAGCACTTTCAGAAACAACTTCAGTTTCAGGTCCCTCTTCTGTGGAACCAGCTTCCAGTTTGGATTCTGGAGACAGACACTATCTCTACTTTTAAGATTAGGCTTCACACTTTCCTTTTTGCTAAAGCATATAGTTACTGCTGAATCAGGTGACCCTGAATCCATCATTCAAGCTGCTGCACATCTTTTTTTTTGACTGGTCGTAGTGATCCACCTGGCATTTTTCCTCAATCCAGGCCTGCTGACATCATGTGATGGTGTGAAGCTCAGGCTGTTGTTTGTTGTCATGGAGATTTGTAATCTTTGCAACTTATTGTCAATTTCACGACTTTTAAAACTGATAAATTCATCCGGTGTGTTGTGTCCTCTTGTGTCTTTTTGTGTTTTGGTGCAGATAAATTTAAAGGTCCGGCTCTGACAGCTCAACGGAAACACTGATGCCAGTGCATATTAAGGTTTTTTTGATGGGTTGTGTTTTGGATTTGATCTTTGGCCCTGAAAGCAGAATCTGCAGGTGAGGTCTCTCAGCTCTGTGAGCCTTTCTTCACTTTTCATTTTATACTACATTTCCCAGGAAGCACCGCAGCACCATGTCCTCTGAGCAGCCCAGCATCAGAATAATGCCGGAAAATGCGGCAGAGTGGCTCCATGTAAGTAAAACCAAGTCCCTCCTCCTCCCTGACAGGTTGCCATGTAATTGGCTGAGAGCAGCGTGGGCTGTCCCTCCTGGTTCCTGCGGTTTGACCTTTGGTCCACCATCCCAGTATCAATCTGGTTCTCCTGGCTGGTTTGATTCAGTTCTAAGCAGTAATTCCTCATACATACACAGAGACATTCTCACACAAACACACTCACATAGGCTCAGGTCATGATAGTGTCAGAAATTCTGAGTGACTGAAATGTTTTTATTTTAGGGTTTTGTAACAGAGGAACAAATACAGCTCGCATCTGTGGAGCTGGAACAAAAAAGTTTCTATTATCATTACCACTGTTATTATATTTTAGTAATACATGTGAATCGTGTAGTTGTGTTAAAATATTGGAAGTGAACTGTTAAACCACAGCTGTAAGTGTACGGCCAGCATGAATGTTTCTGTGATCAAATACTTATAGTAAATAAAATAACATGAATAAAGTTAACAGTCACTGTGGTCCCAGTGTGGACAGGAAGGAGAGATTGTATTTATTTTATTTTTTCTGATTACTCAAATTCATTGACTTGTATAACTATTTCCTTTTTGTCATAGGACTATACCAAAATAAAAGCTCTGTTACCTTTTAGTTAATCTCATGTTATACTCAGCTCAGGAAATGGAACAATGATCAGATGACTTTTTATTTGTGTTTAAAAGCACAAAGACTTTACAACATGTGAGATTTGGTCTTTGCTCCTGACTGTGACCCACACACCACACGATCAGTGGACTCCTGCTCATAAAGTCAAGTTGAGCTAGTGTGCACTCTGAGCATGTGGACAGATGTACAGGTAACTCAGCGCAGGTAAGTAAAGACCTACATGAGCATAGCTTCTGTAGACCGAGGTGAGATAAGGAGAAGTGTGCAGCTGTCCACATACCCAGCTCAGTCTGATCGATCAATAAGCGATACCCGTTCAGTCAATAATTAACTCCTGTCAGACGCTGTGGCTGCCTCTCTCCCTCCTCACATAGTATTTTTGTCACTGCTGGGCTTCCTTACTTTGACAGAAGCTCCACAGAGACGGAAACATCTGCTGCAGCTTTTTGTCACTGCCTCTGCTCTGCCTCTCAGGTATGAAGCTGCTGCTCTTTCAGCTTCTCTTTGTGCTTGTGCAGCTTTCAGGAGCTTTCTTGAAGTCGCATAGAGTTTCCTGAAGTTTCGGGAATCTTGGAAAACTTCAAGCTGCTGGAGGTGAACGTGGCAGCGCTGCAGAGGAGTGTGTGTTTGTGTGAAGCTGCACAAGTCTCGGTTCAATTCTTCTCTGCAGAGCGGCTGTAATCATTAACATGTGAGCTTCACTGTGAGGTTAGAAAAGCAGCTGCGAGTGCTGACGGTGAACTTTAAACAACCCTCCAAACCTTTAATGAAGCTTTTTATACTTCATTAAAGTTCAGAAAAAGTAAAGGTTCTTCATTTTGAAGCCATCACAGATTCAGAGACTGTCACTCTGTGTATCTCTGCTTTTTCAGTCTCTGTTTACTTTGTGCTGATGATGATGAGGATTACAATGAAGGGAAACAGTTAAACACGCTCACAGTTTGTGGGAGACGGCTGCAGTTATTAACCCTGTCCGCCCTGGAGCTCCTGCCTCTCGTGATATCAGAGCTTTCTCTTGCTTTGGGTCCGTCTGAGGCCCCGGTTGGCATTTTGTTTGACTTTAAGTTTGCTCTTTTCACTCTTGGGTTATTTTGTGTCGTCGGCCTTTCTGAGTGCTATCGTCCTAACAGGAAATAAGAGAACGTTTAATGTTGATGTCATGAGCTCGTGTGTATCGGTTGGGTCACATCCATTCTAAGCTGGATAAACGTTCAGAGAGGATAAAGACATGAAACACTGTAAAAACGTCTGCAGGTCTTTTTTCTCAGGAATGTTTCTGAACTTGTGAATTTTATGCATCGCAGTCACAGCTGATCAAAGTCCCTAAAGTTTGGTTTGCCTATCACCCCTCACATTTCCAGATGTTTCCAGATTTTTCCATCCATTTTATTGATTATCCTCAGTCAGCTGAAGCTCTTTCTCTCTCTTGCTCTCTCTTTTAGTCATGTTGTCCTTGGCCGCCCACTCGCTCTGTGTCAGGGCCACCGGTTACCAACAAAGCCTGCACTCCATAGCAACTGTCATCTCCGGGAACAAAACGTCCAAGTAAGTCTCAACCCACCAGAACGGCTTCTGAGTCCGTTAACTGTCTGACCTTTGACCCCAGCCCTGCGGCTGTGTGTGCAGAATAGTGAGGGAGAGACTGAAGAAGGAGGTGGAGAAGATGGCGAGTCAGTTCTCCGGGTTCAGACCGGGCCTGGTGGTCCTGCAGGTGAGAGCCTGAAGCGCCCCCTTCTGGATGGAGCGATACTTCAAACCGATTTTTTTCTAACAACCTCACAGTGACCTGATCAGGTCGTTCTCTGAGCTCCGCCATCATAACTCAGACTAGACTTTACCCGGGGCTGCTCTCTGCAGTTTACCTGTGCACACCTGTTGTCACCTGTCAACAAAAAGCAGCTTTGTTTTAGTGTTTGTGACCAGATGAAACCAGTCAACTGAACTTTGACCTCCACTCCCAGCTCAGGCTGGAGCTCCTGGTCCTCTCACACAAACACACAAACATGTGACTGCTTCCCATCTCGTTTATGTTTACGGCAGAGCAGTGACCAGGTGACGTGTGCACCTCAATGATATAAATGACAGAACATTAGAAACACCTGTGACTGCTGAGTGCGTGGCCATCATTTTCAGTCTGTTTGTGAAAAATGGGACAAACCTCCAAAATCTTACAGCAGTTTAACCTGAGGGGACAAAAACGAGCGACCAAAAATCAAAGAAGTTCTGTCAGTAAAATTAAAAACACGAATGATGTAGAAATAAAAAGCCGCAAATAAGTCGGGAGCAGCTCAGGATCCTCCAGGAGGAAACAAACATGTCAGAGAATGAGAAGGATGCAGGATCCTGCAGGATGGCTATTTTTAACTGTATGTGTGTGTCACAGGTGGGAGACAGAGATGACTCTAACCTGTACATCAGCACCAAACTGAAGGCTGCAGCTGAGGTGACCAACATACACACACTCGTTTTCCTATCTTAGTGAAGACATGTAATTGACAATATTTTCCTTAGTTGCTTACCCTAACTGTTACGAACCATCTCTGCTAGGGGTTAAGGGAGGTAACATAAATGAGATTCTCACGGGGAAGATCGGAGTCGAAAATGTTTTATTACAAAAAAACTCAGAGAACTGAAAAATAATAGCAGCATTTACTACAAACAAACAAACAACCGATGCAAAAACAACTTCCTCGCTTAAAGCTTCAACCAGTAGAAATCAAAATTAGCCCCATGGGCTGTAGCACAACTAACATTACTCAAGAGAATCTCAGTCGAGACAGGGATTTACAAACAAGGTTACCAGACAGAAGCACGCAGACTGCACACTCAGTTGAAAACAGCAGACCCAGAATGAATGTTCTTCAGCCTTTTAAATAGGGATGGGTACCGGTGTCCGGTGCCATGATGGCACCGGTTCTGACATAAACGGTAGTAACCAGACCGAAAAGCAGCGCACATTTCGGTGCTTTATTTCGGTGCGTTTTTTTCCTGAGCTGTGATACACTTTAGATTCTAGCCAATCATTTTACGTTTCCGAGGATAGTAGGCGGGGCCAGGTACGTACGTTCTGTTAGAGCAGAGCTACAGATTAAAAATGTCCAAGGCGAAGCGGTCAAAAGTCTGGCTGTACTTCATAGCAAAAGATGCAAACTCAGCAGCCTGCAACAAGTGCTTTAAGCTGATACTGTGATACTGTCAAAGGAGGTAACACCTCAAATCCGATGAAACACCTGGCGACGCATAGCGTTTTTTTTAAAAGCCCAGAAATGCGCCGTATTTGATAGCTTGCCGCGAGACCTCACACCGAGCACATCTACTGCCGGTGGGTTGCCTGTTATGCAACATCTCCCAAAAACACGAAGAGGAGAGTCCTGGCCCCTAGCCCTGCCAGTGTAGCAGAAATGATGACGGATGATGGTGGCAGCAGCCGTTCTTCTCTGCGTGAGTAGCTAATTTACGTTGAGTAGGCTAACCACATTATTACATTAATGCATGTAAGGTGAGCTAGCAAACATCATCATAGCTACATGCAGCTGTCTTCTTGTTTGATGGCAGATACTCCCTTCACCCTGGCTAAAAAGGCTAAAATGACCAAAGAAAAAGTGGAAAACAGTTAAACATGAGAGGTTTTTGGACAAAGTTTGTGTTTTTTCCATTGTTTAAGCACTGCTTCCAGCCAAGAGTGATACCATATATGCCCCATAGCTGCAGAAAAGGCTAACATTGTTATCTTTTTACAAAAAACAGCTGAACATGAGAGGTTTTTGGACCAATTTTGTGTTCTCCATTCTTTAAGCACCGGTTTGAGCACCGTTTGAGCACCGGCACCGTTTCAAAAGTACCGATTTGGCACCGGTATCGGATAAAACCTAAACGATACCCATCCCTACTTTTAAAGATGCAAGTGTGCCCAATCAGTCACTGATTGGTCTAGCATCCCTCAGCTGGTCCAATAGACTTTCCCTGGAGGTGCAAGCCACAGGTTCCCAGGCAGCCAATTGTCTGAGTGTGTTGTCACACTCAAATTTGCTTGAAGGAAGTCTGGCTCACTTCTTCCAAGGCTAGGGGCCGTAACACTAACCTTAACCCTCAGCTTAAACCTCAGCCTCAACCTAACCATAACCTCTGGTCCTTCCGTACACACACATGCACACACACACACACACGCACACAGTGGGCTGATGCAGCTTCACTTTGTTTCCTGCAGGTTGGAATTGAAGCCAAACATATCCGGCTGCCGAACACAACCACGCAGGACGAGGTCTTCATGCATCATCTTCATCGTCATCATCTTTTCTCCGTGACGTGATCGAAGGTCTGATTGGTTCTTGTTTTCTGTCGCCCTGCAGGTGCTGCACAGCATCATGTCTGTGAACGAGAGCGCGTGCGTACACGGTCTGATCGTGCAGCTGCCATTGGACTCCGCAAACTGCATTGACACTGAGTTCGTCACCAATGCTGTGTCCTCGCAAAAAGACGTAGATGGGTCAGTGAGCGCATCACTTCCTGTGTTCATCACCAAATACTCATCACTAACACTGTGTGTGTGTGTGTGTGTGTGTGTGTGTGTGTGTGTGTGTGTGTGTGTGTGTGTGTGTGCAGGCTGAGCTGCATTAATGCAGGTAAACTGTCTCGAGGAGATCTGAATGACTGCTTCATCCCCTGCACCCCCAACGCCTGCATGGAGCTCATCAGACAGACAGGTAGCAGCACACTGGGAACACTGGGAACATTGGGAATTCTGAGAACATTCAGACTGCTGGGAACACTGAGAACATTTAGAACAGTGGGAACATTGGGAATTCTGAGAACATTCAGAAAACTGGGAACATTGGGAATACTGAGAACATTCAGAACACTGGGAACACTGAGAACATTCAGCACACTAGAAACACTGGGAACATTGGGAATTCTGAGAACATTCAGAAAGCTGGGACTATTGGCAACACCGAGAACATTCAGAACATTGGGAACACTGTGAACATTATGTCATTCGTTGAAAGTGGCGGATGCGTCTCCTGGGGATAAACGGTGGTTAGGTGTAAAGACCTGCTGCAGACACATAATTGTAACCACATGATTGTAAATCTGAAATCATGTGTTTGTTGTTCATCAGACATACAAACATCATCACTGACAGTTCCAGTAAACACCTTTGCCTGTGACTTCCTGTACCTGTGCAGGCGTGTTTGTGGCGGGGAAGCACGCGGTGGTTATTGGTCGCAGTAAAATCGTTGGCGCTCCGATGCACGACCTGCTGCTGTGGAACCATGCCACTGTGACCACCTGCCACTCAAAGACACCTGACCTACCTGAGCAGGTAACAACATGCAGATACGAAATAAATCATGAAATGAATAAAAGCTAACCTAAAAAGCAAAATTAAAAAGTTAAAATTCAAACAAAATCACCTTTAAAATCAAACAGAACAGATTGCCTCCATCACTCAAACACTTCTTGCGTCTGCAGGTGGGCCGGGCTGATATCCTAGTGGTGGGGGCCGGCAGAGCAGAGATGGTGAGAGGAGAGTGGGTGAAGGAGGGTGCCGTGGTCATTGACTGTGGAATTAACCATGTCCCCGGTATCAGCATCCCCTTACGCTTATTGACTTCCTTTTTCCAGCCAGCAGCTTGTTTTTTTTTCTTTTCTTTTAACCAATCAGAAGCAGGATTGTTTCCACAGGAACCCCAGCTGGGTGGAAACAATCCTGCGAGTGAATCAATCCTAAAATGATCTGCAGTGGAAAATATAAACCAATGACCAAGTTTAGCTCTGAGCTTTAAAACTGTAATTCTTTAAAATGATTCACTCTGTGACCTTTGACCCCTGCTACAGATGAGACAAGGCCCAGCGGTAAGCGAGTGGTTGGAGACGTTCACTACTCCTCCGCCAGTCAGAGAGCAGGATACATCACACCTGTTCCAGGAGGGGTGGGGCCAATGACGGTGGCCATGCTCATGGAGGTATTTATTTTATTTTATTTTATTTATTTATGTTTTTATTTTTGTTTTACTTTTCAGTCTCATCAGATTTTACTCTTTTACTTTTGAGCATTACATACTTTTATTTTTTTATCAAATTCAAATGAAATCAAATCATTTTAGATGCATGAATGACAAAAACTTAAAACAGGTTAAATGATCTCCTCATAAGAGCTCTTTCATCCAATCAGACACAGCTTTTGTGGTTCTGTACATTACCACAATTAATTTTAAAGGAAACAAGTCAGATCCAGTTGAAGTGTAGACTTTCAGCTTTAAGTTGGGTTGAACAAAAAGATTGCATAAAAAGGCGATAAATATTTTTTAACACAATTCCTTCATTTCAGGGGCTCAGACGTAATCTGACAAATTAAATAAGTGAAAATAAAATATTCATTTCTAACTTGGTTGAAAACTTATTGCTGGCACTGACAACCTGAAGTCATGGACATCATGAAGTGAAATGCTCGGTTGGGTTAAGATCAGCTAACTGACTTGGTAATTCATGAATTTTCCACTTTGCTTTAATAAACTCCTGGATTTTGACTGTATTTTTGGGTTATTGTCCATCTGTATTATGAAACACTGTCCAATCAACTGGACTTCATTTAGCTGGATTTGAGCAGACAGTTTGTCTCTGAACACCTCAGAAATCATTTAGCTGCTTCAGTCCTGTGTCATATCATCAATAAACACTAGTGTCCCAGTGCCACTGGCAGCCATCACACTGCCTCCATTGTGTTTTAATCAGAATCAGAATAGTTTAATCATCCCTAAGGAAATTATGTTGGTTGCAACCACTTCAAGACAATAACAGTAACAGGCTGAACTAAATTAAATAATACAATATTTTAGAACAAAATATAAGAAATAGGTCCAATATATACAAATATGACTTTTACAGGAGGAAATTGTGCAAAATGTGTGCATGATGTAGTATGCTTTGGATCATGAGCTGTTCGGCACCGTCTCCCCACCTTTTTCTTAAACTCATCTGTCCAAAGAATGTTTTTCCTGAACTGTGCTGGCTTTTTTAGATGTTTTTCAGCAAAGTCCAGTTTAACCTTTCTATTCATGAGGCTTACAAGTCGCTTGCACCCTGCACTGAACTCTCTGTATTTACTTTCATGCAGTCTTCTCTTTATGGTAGACTTGGATATCCGTACTTTTACCTCCTGGAGAGTGTTATTCACGTGGTTGGCTGTTGTGAAGGGGTTTCTCTTCAATGATTCTGTAATCATCCACCACTGTTGCCTTCCGTGGATGTCCAGGTCTTTTTGCATTGTTCACCAGTGCTTTTTTTCTTTCTCGGCATGTACCAAAACTGTAGATTTTGCCACTCCTAATATTGTATTCTCTAATGTTTTTATTCTGTTTTCACAATTTAAAGATGGCTTGTTTCACGTGTATGGAGAGCTCCTTTGACTGCATGTTTTCTGCTCAAGAAAAATCTTCCAAATGCAAGCACCGCACCTCAAATAAACTCCAGGTCTTTTATCTGCTTAATTGATAATGACATGAAGGAGTTGCCCACACCTTCCCATGAAATAGCCTTTTAGTCAACTGTCCAATTACTTTTTATTTTAAAAACAAGTTGGCACATGTTGAGGAGCTGATACTCCTAAACCCATCATCCAATTTGAATGTGGATACGCTCAAATGAAAGCTGAGGGTATCCACATTATGTCCATGTTCGTCATATAACTATAATTGGAATATGTTTCAGTAAACAGGCAAAAAAAAACCTCTTTTTTTGTGTCAGTGGCCAAATATATATGGACCTGACTGTATGCTATATGTGCAGAACAAAGTGAAAACAGTAGAAAACATGGAGCCTGATGGTCTAAGATTTAATAGGTACAAAAGAAAATTGTCTGCATATCGGCTGATCTAGTTCAGTTGAAAATGTAAGCAGCAACTTAGGAAACAAACACACAAATCTGAGGAGTTTCGAAAATGGGGAAATGGGGTGAAAATGGGGGTGGTCTTAAAATCGGAAGATTGGGAGTGTTGGCTGGTCTGACGGTTAATCGGTTCCTATTGTGGTTTTTCTTTAATCGGTTCCTATTGTGGTTTTTCTTTGTTTCAGAATACGGTGCAGAGTGCTCAGCGCTTCCTCCTGAAGTTGAGGAGATGAAACATCGACACTGACGGGTAAAACTCGGCTCAAACTTTCAAATTCCAACCAGGGTTTCCTCTAAATTCATCAGAACTAATTTATTGTCATGATCAGTTTTTGTCACTGAAGGACACTCTGCAACCAAAAAAACTGCACATGTATAAATGATTAAATGTATTTTTGTTTGGGTTCTTATAACTGACAGTTTCTTCACTTTGTTTGTATCCCTGTAGGCAGACAGCTGTGGACAGGTGAACAGCTCATACACAGAGATGACATCGTCAGAATGAAAGCAGAAACACTTCTTGTTTCAGAGGCTGAACTCGTCCGTATTTTTTCTTTTGTCTTAATTTTTTTCTGTAATTTATTTCCTGATCTGAGAGATTTCTGACGTCTGTCAAAGTTTGACTGTGACTCCAGCAGGACCTCAGAGTTCAGACGCACTGAGCTCGATGAGGCTGTGGGTGCTGCGCTTTCCTGCAGTATTAAACCAGGTGTAAGTACATGCCCAGCATTTATTTATTTTCATTCTTTTGTTACTTTGATTTTTAAATAGTAAAAATCTTTTACCTTCTTGTATAAAAAAATCTCTGACAGTAACAGTTTCTGTACTTTCAGTTTAAAAGAAGTGATGGATAAGAACTCCGTGGGGCTTTTATTGTGAAAAGCTGCAACTTTGACTCAATTGAGCTTCATATGAACATCCTTGCATTCAAGGATGTTCATATGAAGCTCAATTGAGTCAAAGTTGCAGCTTTTCACAATAAAAGCCCCACGAAGTTCTTATCCATCACGTGTTCACCTTCAAAATCATCAGCAGCTTTGTTTGCTCAGGGATCAGAGGTTGTTGTCATGGAAACATCGTCAGCTGCTTCCTGCTGGCAACTGAAGTCAGGCAGACTAACCAGAGATTTATGAAGGATCAATGTATTGGTTATTGGCAGAAAAGATCATATAATATTATTTTATTAGAACACGTGTTTGAGGTTTCATCATGCAAATAACGTGTAAATCTGAAAATTTACTTCTAATTGTACTCTGTCTAAATGAAGTGTTCAATAAAGTTAAGTATTCAAACTCATTTATACATTCTGTTATTTTTATTAGAGACACAAACCTGAAGAACAAAAACATCTGGCCGCATATAAAACATGGATGACTGCGAGAAACAATGCACACTAAAATGTTTGTCATCTGTCCCCAAATCTGACGGATATGACCAAAATCTTCAAAATAAACTCCCTGCTTGACTCAGAGCTGAGAGCAGAGACTCAAGCTGTGTCCCAAAACGTAGGCTGCATCCTTCGGAGGCCGCATTTGAAGGCCGATTACGTCACAGCCAGGCGACGAAGGCTGTCCCAATTCGTCGACTCCTTCAAATGTGGCCGACAAATGCGTCCTTCATTTCCCCGAATTTGAAGGACGGGTCGGGTGTGTCCTTTGTGGCCCACCATATATCCCAGAATTCATTGCCCGGCCCAGCCAATTCCAGTTTTCAACAACGGCGGCCGCTACTAAGTTTTAATATTACTCTTATTACTCTTTCTGGGTCACAAAAATAACTTTGAACATATTTTCAGGCAAGAATGTAGTTGAATAACCTGCTTGGTTTTTCAAGACATCACATATTTGCAGAAGTGCTCTGACGTTTTCGGAAATGTCTGTTACCCACCCGCTCAATAGCTAGCCGGGGGGTTCAATCGTCACTCGAACCAGCAAGAGCAGCGGACTCCTGGCTTCATCGTTTTCAGACCCCTGCTGTCTTTCGTTACTCAGGTTAAACATGATATATAAGTCACTCCGATAACTTAAAAATGTAATTGTTTGGCTTTTTTCTGTGTTTTTTTTTGTTCCGGAGTAAATCTGGTTGGCTGAGATCAAAGTTATTAGATTAGATTAAATAAAACTTTATTAATCCATCGGGTGGGTTCCTCCGGGATTTTCACAAAGCTGAATAAACGTCAAACAGAAAACGGATTACACAGAAGTGTGAGACGGTCGAGAATTTACCCCAGTGTCCTGTTGTATTTTAGATAGCAAGGAGCAGACGGCTGAGTTTATTAAACTCCACCGAGACAGCGGTGACATAAATCTGAAGGCTAGACTGTCCCATTTCACAGCCTCGCACTTCCGGCCTTCTTGGTCTTCGAAGGACCTGGCCCACATTGACCGCGAAGGCAGGGTCCTCCGAAGGATGCGGCCTACGTTTTGGGACACAGCTCAAGGCAGGCCAATTACGTCACAGCGACGCGATGAAGGGTGTCCCAATTCGAAGTGTACTTCAAATGCGCCCTTCATTTTCCCAAATTTGAAGTGTAGTCTGGCATAGACTTCATGGTCCCATACATCCCACAATTCATAGCGCGGCGGTGAGTGTGGATATTTTGTTCGGAAAAAGATGGCAGATGCCTGAAGCGCAGCGGCCGAAGAGCAATGTTCCCTCTAAGCTGCGCACGTGCGCAATTGCGCACTGCTGGCATGGTCTCTGCGCACAGAAAATCTGCGTTGCGCACAAAAAAAAATCTAACCCAAATTGAAATTGTTGGGAGATTTTGAGTTTTGTGTTATGTTTATTTGTAGCTTCATTTAAAGGAAGAAGAGCATATGAGTCGTACAACTGCAGGAAAGGGAAGTGAGACATTGTGTGAGAAAATATGTGCTGTGACAGCAAAACAGCTACCTCCTGTTTCAACAGATAGCTAACGGTTTTTCCTTTTAAGGAGTTGTTATTGAATTCTATATATGCCACGCCTGTTGTTGTTTGAGTATAAATAAAGGATGTACTGAGAGCCCCGCGCGATTCCTCTGTGACACACACACAGTGCACACGTTGGTGCAGAGATCGTGTCGGGGCATCGCCCATGTACATGTAAAAATCTTTGAGTCTGTGTTTCTTGCCTCCTAAGAGTTTTCTCCGCACAGAAATTACAATTAATACTGTCACAACCCGGCTCAAAGGAAGTGACAAGCAAGTGGGAGACCACACACAGGCTTTTAAACATTGTAAGATATATTTAATGAAAATAAGGTGAAGCAACTTCAACACAATTTAAAGGACAAAACAGCCATAACTGAAGCCTCAAATGAACTTGATGGGTGCCAGACGGAGAGAGTCAAGGTGTCTTTATACATTGGGACTGGCCTTCTTAGGTGTGCTGCATCTATAATTTGGTCAGCTCCACCTACCTGCAAGAAACAGGTAACAGAAAAACCAAAACACAAGGCCAGCCCACTGGCTGTCACAATACTTTAACAATTCTGTTTTGCAGTGTTAGTCAGTAAGTGACTGGCTGCTCCCGTATGGGATTAGAACGATGCCATCTTATCCCATAGTCCAGCCAATAATGTGATTCACATTCGTATATACACAGCTAATCAACGTCGTTGGCAGGCTATGACAGCGTCCTTATGTGCCGACACCAGTGTTTTAGCTAGCAAAGCGGCGTGGCTGATGTGGAGTGAAGCCACGTTAATGACAATGCGTACAACCATTGGAGATGTGAGCAGGACAGATGGAACAATTGACGGAAAAAATGTGGACTTTATACCAGTTTTTAAATTGTGTTGATAGGTCACGTAAAACCAGAGTTATGATAAAAAATATCTGCAATGTTTGTTTTTTTTCTGAATACTATCATTGTTTATATTTACTGCAGGAAGAAACGGTAAAAACTGTGTTTTATAAGGAAAACACTCTCCGCCTGTGAGCAAAAACAAAACCAAAAAACTCCCACCCTTTCCTATTGGTGGGAAAATGTACCATGTCGACCAATCAAAAACTGATATGGCAACATGGCATTTAGTTGTTTAGGAAGGGGGAAGTTTTAGGAATGACAGCAATGTTTTGAGATGTGAGAGATTTGCGACGTTTAGCGAAAATCTTGTGTAGTTAGTGTGTAGTGTAGTCAATAATTCTGTTGTGTGTGACAGAACAATGAGGCAACTACTGAATGTTACAGGTGGTACAGGAGTGATACATCTCCTGTTGTCAGGCCTGCAGGTATCAGGCTGTTGTTCTCCTTTATCTCATAGTGGACAGAAATACATTTTTGGAGTGGCACAAATAATTTGTGTGGCATCAAATTTGATGCAGAACAGCTGATTGTTCTGTAAATAGTTTGAAATGTTTATTTAAAAAAACGCTTTGGCTGCATTTTTAGGTAAACAGCTGAAAAAAACTTTGTTGTTTGCAAAACTCAGTTACTTTTTTTGAAGGAGTAACTATATAATTAATTGCCCAACATTTGTCATTACATACTGTATTTTGCAGACTGGGCATTACAGGACTCAGAGCTGTGATAGCAAGTCAGAGCTTTATAAAAAAAAAAAAAGAAAGCCGTGTTTTCAAAATTGGAGTTATTTTTACTTCCAATAGTGTTAACATACTACACAGGTCATGAATAACATTTTTTTTTAATTTTCATTGTAAGTCGGCTAAAGCAGTTAATTAAAAGTAGACTAACATAAATGTAAATGCTGTAATTTGATTATTTTAATAAACCATGTAACTTGGATGGATTCGATGCTGGCGTGACCACAGTGCACACGTCTGCTGTTGCTCACAGTGGTCCAAGGGACTGCTCAGGGAGTTTGTGTGTTCCCTCAGACACATGAAAAATTAGAGGGAACATTGCCGAAGAGTAAACTTTCAAAAGTAAGTACTGAATATTATGTCACTTATTTATGTGCGAATGTTTAATAATGAAGAACATTAAAACATTACTGTTGGCCACATGTCGGCAAAGTTATGTGACATTAGTGATGCTAGTACTTGCAGTGTTAACTTGGTTTTAAAGCCTTTACTTTATACGCCGTTCAATAGTTGGCCTTAATCTTACAGAGAATGTGATGATTTTATGGATAATTAAAGTCAGTCATATATCCACAAACACAACAAGCTGAAAGTCAGTGATGCTGCTCGGTTTGCAGTCCTGAATATCACGGCACAAGCAGGATTCACTGCACTGTTAATGTTAGTTATGTTATATTGCTGCCTCTGTTCGGTGGTGTCGAGCCAAATGGACTTTAACTTATGTTTGAACGAACTGATGGTTCACTCGTTAAGCTGATAGAAAGATGCTTTAATCACAGGAGTCACACATGTGTCCACTGTACCATCTGGGAACTCTTCTTGTTTAGTACTCGTAATAACACAAACACTAAATCCTCCTGTTTGTAGCAGTGTATACACCTGAGACTGTCACCTGTCTGTCTGTCCTGCACTCTCTCTTCTTTTCTTTCTCTCTGATTGTGTAATAAAAGTCTGAACATGTATTTATAAGTCACACTTGTGTTTGAATGCTGCAGCTTATCACACATTTGATTTCCATGTGTGACAACTGCAAGTGTCCAGAGTGAGGACAGACTGAGGGACCCACTGCTGCACATCATCTGTGAGGCTTTGCACCCCTGATGATCCATCAGGACAAACTCAGCAGTGTGTGAGGAAGCAGAGGAGGAAGAGCCAGCAGCAGCTGACAGATGGAGAGAATAGACAGACTGTTCCCTGTTTGTGAAGGACTGCTAGAAAAGTTTAAAATAACTGTCTGTCCTGAATCCGTCTTATTAGGTAATGTTCAAATAATTTTATCATTCCAGTGTTTTCAGTGTGGGAGAAAGTATTCAGGGCCTTCACGTTACACACTATGAAAGGCAGC